GGGAGAGACCAGTGCAGACCCGTATATGGGAGAGACCAGTGCAGACCCGTATAGATCCATAGGAGAGACCAGCGCAGAGACTCAGCGCGGACCCAGTAACCTCCTGCAGCAGCAGTATATATGCCGTTGTTCTGTGGCCCGTGGATAAAGAAATGCCCCCTATAAATAGGAAGGGGTCACTAATACACGGCAAGATTTCCAATGTATTTGATAAAGCGTTGGCACATTTCATTTCAAAATGAATTAAAAAGTAGGCCAGATCTGCAGTGAAAAAGGCGGTATATAAATAAAGATTACTAATAAAGATTACTACAAATAAATAAATACATACATCGATATGACGGACATATCACTGGAATGTTGTATTTTTATTCAACTTCACCAAAGAGGACAACCCCGGCGTGTGAACATGTCGGCACTGAATGCGTACGAGTGCTCCTGAGGACTCGTAGGATTTGTACTTGCCCAAGAGAAATTCTGGTTACGAGAAATATTCGTGAATGCCACTTTCTTCGTAAAAACCGCGTAAGTAGGATTTACGTACAAATCTGTTCCTAAGAACCGTTCGTGAATGAGGCCCAATATTTTCAAGAATAAATTTATTGTGCTGTACAGAATGTGGTTAGATGACAATGTTGAAGCATTTGACCGCCACGGCTGCCGTAGCGAGCCGCTGTCGAGGCAGACAACTGGTGTGGCGTTGACGTGTGGTGTTCTACGTAAAATGTCAATTTTTCCCTAATTAATTCGTAAAAGATTCTGGGCTAACCACGCCTTGACGTCACATAGACAGTTGAGCAGGGGCGTCAGGGGGCCATGGCCTTTTGAGATTGGCATATACAGTGCCTTGCGAAAGTATTCAGCCCCCTTGAACCTTTCAACATTTCGCCACATTTCAGGCTTCAATCATAAAGATATAAAATTTACATTTTTTGTCATGAATCAACAAGTGGGACACAATCGTGAAGTGGAACGAAATTTATTGGATAATTTAAACTTTTTTAACAAATAAAAAACTGAAAAGTGGGGCGTGCAATATTATTCGGCCCCTTTACTTCCAGTGCAGCAAACTCACTCCAGAAGTTCAGTGAGGATCTTTGAATGATCCAATGTTGTCCTAAATGACTGATGATGATAAATAGAATGCACCTGTGTGTAAACAAGTCTCCGTATAAATGCACCTGCTCTTTGATAGTCTCAGGGTTCTGTTTAAAGCGCAGAGAGAACCATGAAGACAAAGGAACACACCCGGCAGGTCCGAGATACTGTTGTGGAGAAGTTTAAAGCCGGATTTGGATACAAAAAGATTTCCCAAGCTTTAAACATCTGAAGGAGCACTGTGCAAGCAATTATATTGAAATGGAAGGAGTATCAGACCACTGCAAATCTACCAAGACCCGGCCATCCCTCCAAACTTTCATGACAAAAAAATTAAATTTAATATCTTTATTTATTATTATTTATTTATATGCCCTGACGAAGACCGCTGTTGGTCGAAACGCGTAGGCAGTCCAATTCATTAAAGGACTTTTAATTTTTTCACTAAAACAGAGTGCCTCAGACTACCTTTTTTCTCTTCTGACTTTCTACATGCTTAGATTGCCCCGTCTTCGAAGAGCACCTGTTTTTATTGCCTTCTACCACACGTACCCTCTGCAGCACTCACCTTTTTTACTTTTAATTAATATCTTTATGTTTGAAGCCTGGCGAAATGTTGCAATACTTTCGCAAGGCACTGTACATTTGGAAGTCATCTGCATAAAAGTTATAGGACACTCTGTGTTTGTTAAAAATCTCTAAGTGAGAGGAGATAAAGGGCAAAAAGGATAGGTCCCAGAAAGGGACACCCCAATAAAGCGAAACAAAAGAAGAGGTGGCATCCCCCAGCCTGACTGAAGGACCTCTCCGACAGGTAGGACCTGAACCACTCCATTGCAGTCCCCCTGACGCCCACAGTCTCTCAGGTGGTCTAAAAGAATGTTGTGGTCAACGGTGTCAAAAGAATCAGTAAAATCTAAAAGCACTGAAATGGCAGAGCCACCAGAATCAGTCAATAAAAGCAAGTCATTTAAAAACCTTTAAAAGTGCAGATTCAGTACTGTGCAAAGCTTTGTATCCAGAATGAAATGGATCTAAAGTGCTGTTTTAATCTAACAAAAGGCTGCAGTTGTGCCAAAACACATTTTAGAAACCAAAGGTAGTTTCGAAATGTAATGACTGTAATTAGATAAAGACCTGCTTCTTTGATCAAAGGCTCAACAACAGTGCTTTTACATAAGGAAGGCACATTGTCAGATAGTAAGCTTCTGTTGATGATGTCCCTCACAGAAGAGCCAATAGTGCCCCAAACCTCTTTAAAAAAGCAAGGAGGGACTGGGTATGTGGGACAGGACAAGGGTTTGAGTTTGTGTCAGTGTCCATGTCTGTGTTGACTGAGATGGTGAACAAACTGACTAAAAACAGCTGAATATTGCCATGTTTAAACACAATGATGAAGGAGCTAGATTGAATTGAATAGAAGCAAATTTGTCATGTTCCCATTTGTCATCTCCAGCGAAGTGGCTGATTTTGGAATACAGAACTAATAGTTTTAAAACGATTACGTGGCTTGCTGATGCTATTTAATATCGAGTCTGAAAGAAAATATATTTTGTATTCTCAATTTTAACCACAACCTACACTCCGCCCTCGCCACTCACGCAGAGCTGCCCGCGTTGTCATTTCTCCAGGACTTTTTCACATAATTTTTTGTTTTGGACAAATGGCTCTAACGGGCGCTATACAGTCCAGGATCCCAGAGCATGTGCCCATAAAAGAGCACATTTATTGTTCAGTGTCTGCGGATGCAACAGAGTGGGATAAACTCTGCTTAGACAAAGTGAACAGAGGAGAAAAGGCGGCTGCAGTGTCAGACTTGATAACACGCACATGACGCACAGCAGGCGGCTTTATGTCAGGGTATAAACCAGTGGGGGCGGGTCCCAGCTCAAAAGTGGCCAAAATGACGTGCGCTGACATGCTTGCAATACCACCCCGGGCCGATGGAGGTGGACCCAGAAGAAGAATTAGCCAATGCTAACATATAGCATTGGCAGACCTCTCGAAAACGTCTTTACAGGATGGACCAAAAGTTGGCTCTTGGCCCAAAGCTCCGTTCCACATGTGTCAATGCTGAGGGGGTGAATTTTTTTGGTCCACTCTAGTTTACTTGACTTGAAGTCTCTCATTCAAATGAATGGAGCTGCGCCGGCTGACGCATGCGCAGATGCGTTTTTTCACAATTTTCTTGTGGGCGGGACCACTCGCGGCCATTTTGGATAGCTCCAGTAGAGCACATTTTTTGGCCCATTAGTTAGAATGGCGGAGATAGCGTGACTACGTCAGTTAATATATACAGTCTATGGTATAAACATAAACTGAACATAAGAGGACTGTGATCAGAAAACACAACATTACCAACAACAAGTTTGTCAACAGTAAAACCATAGACCAAGATCTATTGAGTCAAATTAAAAGCTTCAATCAAGTCCAAAAAAATCTCTGGCCATGGGCTTAGACGGACAGCAAACGTGTACATTAAAATTTCCGACAATCAAAATATTGTTATAGCGCACCAGACTAAAATAAACAAACTCAGAAAAGTCTAAAATCTTTGAGCCGTTATCCACAGACCACCGAAACACAGCAAAGTACTGGATCAATCTGACACAGCTCGAAACAGCGGAGTTTAAATGAGTTAAAAGACCACTTAGCAGTCGCTTTGTGACTAACGCTTTCTCTCAAAATCGTAGCTATACCTCCCCCACAGGCCCAGATATTCTTTAAGATCCACCATCCAGGTTTCTGTCAAGAACAGTACATCCAGAGAGCATGATGTGAAAAGGTCCTGGAGAAGCGCAGCGCCAAAGCATGCTACCGTGTAACCCTGAAACACTGCAACACACTGCATTACCGCCGAAACAGGGAATGCCATTGGACTGCAACAGAAGCAGAACCATTGCAGAAATAACCAACCAAGGACTGGGAGCCGTTGCCCCGGCTCGAACGGACGCTCACTTAATTACAGCCATCTACATCCATCTGGACAGCTGTGGTCAACCCGGGGAAGCAGAGAAATAATCTGGTGCTTGGATGAGCTTCTGTGCGATATGAAGCTGATGTGGGCAGTGCCTAATTGCTGCCAGGTGAGGATTTGCATGTAGTGCTGCGCAGCCGAAGGACTTTGAGTGCTGTGAGCTTAGTTCTCCTGTCTTCCATTCTGAATTCTCGCTTCAGCTTCAATTCAATAACTGCCATTGAGATCCTTCAGGACCTATGCCCATTTTATTCATATGCCTTTTGAAAATATCCATTAAGTAGAACATTTATGAATAATATCCATAATGGTCTCAGGATCTTCAGATCTGAAGTGGTAAAACATAATTTCTGGTGAGCAATATATTCAGAAAGTTCAGGTGCAGATTAGCAGCCTCGCTTGCACCACCACTGACCAGTGGTGGTGCAAGCGAGGCTGCTAATCTGCAATACGCATGGCAGAAGTGTTTTGGAGCGACAAGGCAAGCAAAGCGGATCATGGAAGTTAATGGGGCTTATTTCACTTGACCATCTTTTGTATCCAGTTGGCTCTTGCCTACTGCACATCAAAGCGTTGCGCACCTGCACGCACAGAGCTAAAATGCGCATGGAGTGCTTTTTTTTTCCCATTCGAGAATACAATATATGGAAATAACACTTTAAGATCTGGGACTTTTAGATTTTAGGGCCACATGGCCATAACATTTATCTTTTTCATTATGCCACCTGTGAATTTGAATGGCGCTGAGGATGAAAACAGCTTGACGCTCAATGGGGAAGCGTTTGTGGCACGCTGTTCCCCGAATGTGGTCTTCACATGCATTTCATTACATGAAAAGTCTGAACTGATGAACTTACCCACCCTGCCTCAGTAGTCAATGTATTGAGCACCCCTGATTAAAAATTATGTGTTTGTGTTGGTGCAGAGTGTTTGGGAAAGTCAAGAGCCGCAGCGCACACATGAAGAGCCATGCAGAACAGGAGAAGAAGGCAGCTGCTCTCCGACTCAGGCAGCAGGAGGAGGCTCAAGGTCAGACACCGTTGCAACCAGAAGCACCTCATGAGCCAGGGGCAAGGCTGGGGGCCCGCAGACCGGAGCCCCCGGCCCAGGCCAGGACTGCAAGGCCCTACCAGGAGGCAAGTGGAGGAGAGTCCAGCGAGGCAGATGATGCTTATGATGAAGACTGGCATTAGGGTGACTATGGGTGGACAAGGGGTACATGTACTGTGTGAGGACTACATGGACTGTAGGGGGACTGGGGGTCTGCATGGAATGTGCTGGGGCAGAGGGGCCGAGGGGGTCTGTATCATCCTTTTCACTCTCTCATTCACTTCATTGTGACAAGCAAAGCCATTTCTCCAAATATGTGGGTCCCTGTGTGTCTCAAGCTGCCTCCTTGTCCACCTGTAACAGCTCAGGAGTACCACGTGTTGCCAGTGATGTGCCTCAGCCGCTGGATTTCAACCAAAGAACCTGGCAACTCAAATGTGAGGCTCCTTCTTTCAGATTGCATCATCTGTTGCAAAAGTGTGAATATCATCAATGTGACTTTATGTCCATTGTTTTTAAAATGTAGAATAATTCCACATTCACATTTTATTATAAAATTCTATTTACTGTATGTATTGTACATGTTGACCACGGGTCTGGGAGTATGTCTTTTAAAATATACATGTGAAACTTTGTCCTTGTAAAGGGAATGAAACCAATGAACAAAAAGTGGCCTTGAGGTTCAAAATGGCGGACTGAAAAACGTTTGTAGACGATTATAGCACATATTAGAGGCCAACTCACACATGCATTCTGTCTTGGGATGTGGCTTTGTTCACACATGATCCTGCTCGGCCCAGGCCCCATGATATAAACAACTTCACTTGAGTCTCAAAATTATTAAATTCCTGAGAACTAAAGTCTCAAAAAATGATTACCAATTTTTAATGTCATGGGCCAAATTTTGGGTAGACCTTGAATTTGGCCCCACTTGCTAAATCAGCTTATTCTGTGTTTTTAAAGACAATTATAAATATTCACTCAGACTTGGAGTATATTCAATTCATTTTGTTTAGCCCTAAATAACAGTGTCTGGGAGGATTTGTTGCCGATTTGTCAGCACAGATCAGAGACTAAAACGGTTTGAATGCAGGAAATGCAATAATAACAAAACACAAAGGAGCCATTTTTGGGGAGGAATTATTAAATATATATTTCTTAACCATGCCGTAAACAAAAGTAAAATAGGAGTTTGTTAACTAGCAATTGCATTTTTTTTTAACTATTATATGTATTTATGTAATGAAATGGAAAGTTGTGTTTGGAATGAACCAAAACAGGACCAAAGGGAACAGTACTGTGGACAGATGGACACATACTACTTAAATTATTATTATTTTATTTCTAAATGTGTTTTAGGTCCAATTTATGCGGTTGTTATCCTGAATAATGGGTTCAGATCCTGGTTTTTCTGAGGGAAGTTTGCAAACAATCCTTCAGTTCCGGTAGTTTAGATTAGAAGGATCAACGTCTGGAGCTGGTTTTCGGGTGCTGCACTCCAGAGACCACTGCTCCTGATAGAGGCCCTAGAACAGGATGGGTCGAATGCAAAGAATACAATCTCTGCAGAACAATAAAGTATGACCTTTCACCCTAAATGAGCTATAACATGCCATAGCAGCGTATCGGCTAGAAGGGAAGAGTTTTAGGTGGCCCTAAACCTAAAATAATTGGCCTGATATATTGGCTGGTTGATCTCAACTAGAAAAAATCTTGAATTGACCAAACCTGAGCCACCTTTGTACGATAAAATATTAAGATTAGTAGAAGTCCTTTCCACGACATGCTGCATGTGTGAATGATAAATATTAACTTGTCCTAAAGTCAGGCCAAAACACAATCACAATACTTTGAGTGACCCTTTGCACTGGAGTAGTTTTATTGGGATCTCTAACATGTAAACCGGGTTTCACACGGAATCAGCGATGTCTTGATGTTGTGTTTTTATGGGCTATATTCCAGAAAATGCTAAAAAAGAAAAGAACAGCTTGATTGGTCTAAGGAAACAAGAACTGTTTGATTGCTCGAAGTCATTAACTTTATAGCGCCTCAAGTGCACTGAACAGATAAAATGTGGCATAACTGCAAGAGTAACAGAATTGTAACACTTTTTGGACACATTTGTATTGTGTCAAAGTTCAACTTTGACTGGTGTGGTGCCTACAATGTTTTAATATAAAGTGTACAGCAGCACTTCAATTGAAAATAATTTACACTAGATCATATTTTTTGTAGTGCAAGTGTTTAATAAATATAAAGATTTTTATTTATGATATTGAAAATAATAACTTTATTGAATGTTGCGGCTGGATTCTATTTTAGACTGCTTGTATATTATTGGATATTTTTACTACTATAAGGGACCTTTTTGAATTGTACAAAAGTTAAAAAATGCCATATATTTAAGAAGATAACTTTTGCATTGGTTTTGTGTTAATAAAACAAATACTGTCAAAGCTTTATCAAACATGTAAATGGAGGGAATAAATGTTTATTGTTCATAACTTGTTTTTATTTTATTTCAAAGAACAAATTCAGCAACATTTGGATGCTTCACGATTACTGTAACTTGAGAGGGTAACGACTGATACAGATGAAAGTCCTGTATGCCACACAGGGCTCCTTAAATATATATCCATATGTATCATACAACAATTGTTATCACAATCAGAAAATGTACAATGGCCCTCATTTATGAAACTTGCGTGCAGCCAAATCAGGGTGTAAATGTGGCGTAACACTTTTCGGCATTTATCAATCTGGACGTGGGTGTACGGTACGCTCAAAATTAACACCGAGTCAGGAGGTGGTGTAAATCTGTACGCTCATCTCAACCTTCATTACAACACGCCAATACACGCATGAAATTCAAGATTTGGACAACAAAAAACATATTCCCACTCTGGCAAAATTATAAGCTGCGCTTTCATTGAGCATCACATTTCGAAATATGAATTTGCGCATCAGACAATGTCTAATGAAAACACGCAAACTTTGAAAACATCAATATAATACTTTTGAATACATCACAGTTCATGATGACACTTCTCTTTCTTCATTTTTAAATCTGACTTGAAACTGGCGCTATACTATAAAAATACACTTTACTTACTTACGCAAAAGGGATGTGTGACCCATCTATTTCTCTGTAAATCTGTGGCATGCCCTGCGCTGCGTAATTACGCACGGCTATCTGTTTTGCCTCATTCACACCTGGCAAAGCAATGTATTTTTTCCATTAGTCTTGAAAGCCTCACACAGACACACACCCCATTAACGCACCGATGGACTATGGTCTTGCTCACTCAAAATGTCTCACTGCCCTGTCCACATGTTGCAATTTATAGACAGGATAGCAAGGCAACTCGCTTATCTCTTGGGCAGTGCGCAGCGGGTGCCATGAGAGGTCGCACCACATATGTAGTGCTTATATGAACTTATAAAACCCCATTAAAATATATTTGTATTAAAAGTGGGGGAAGGGGTTGCCAAGGAGGACACACGCAGGCAGTTCAACAATAAAAAGTTGCATTAAAAAAAGTAGAAATATAAAACAGTAAAATAAATTCCCAAATAAAATATAGTTAATATAAAAGTTCAGTAAACTAGAAGTCCACGGTGGGTTGAAAGTGCATGTTCGAACCCATTTAACTCATTCACTGCCAGCCATTTAAAAAGCAGCATCCCTCATACTGCCAGAGATTTTGGACATTTTTAGTGTTTTTCCGAACCGCATAGAAATGTGAGCCCTTGGTTGACACAAGTATGAAACATACCAAATGAAAGCTCTATCCCTTGGCTTTCATTTAAAAAAAAAGTAAGTTTCTAACCCTTTTAGTTTTTTAGCAATTGCGAGTGCAACATAGGTAACTTTCACACAAAATGCTGTTTCCTGACCAAGATTTGGAGAAAACAGCCTTTTTGTGAAACGCGCATTTTCAAGCAGAAAAGTGTTTGTTTTTTGTCTTTACTGATATTTTACAATGTATGACAGTTTCTTACTATGACACAAAACAGAAACAATACTTTGAATTGTATTTTCAATGTATAATTATTTTTAAACAAATTAAACGTGTACACACAATACGCTCAAAGGATTGTCTTATGTACACATAAAATATTCAACTTGTATACAATAAAAACACTTTGTATACAAATATACAGTAAAAATAACACTTTCTGAACACTTTGTGAAACAATTTTACTTTAGTTTATAAAGAATAGTAATTAGGTGACCCCACACTCTGCTGAAGTGTGGGGTGGAATCTACTTCATCTGCACTCCCAATACATTTCCAGATTAGTTTTTTTCTTACAAACCCAGTGAGAAATGTCAAACCAAAAAAGGTTTTTAGCTGCTAGACTGTCACTGGCTTCCATGCATTTTCTCTGCTGAATGGGAGACGCTGTGTGTGTGCACTGAAATATTGTGCTGCATACAGCTTTGTCTGTTCGACAACAAGATCCAGGATCCAGAAGTTCATCAGTTATGAAGAGCTGCAGAAGTCAGCTGCTGATCCAAATCAAGCTCTGCTGCAGCATTTTGGGGTCCTGGGGTCAACAATCTACAACACAAAGGAAAATATAAAATCACCATACATTTTCACATTATAACAAGTGTTTTGGCTTCAGCAGCTATGACATTGAGATAAAAAACCCTCTTCAATATTCGCTAAAAACGTTACTTTATGTTTATTTTTACTATAGTATGAGCCAGTGATTGCTATAGTCACTCCCTCCAGAATCTCTCAATGTTTGAACGCAAAATCACGCAGACTCCTCGATCAGAGCAACAGAGTCAGTCTCTCTCCCTGTTCCAAAGCAGCAGCGGGCGCGCTCCTGACGCACCCTCCACAGTGAGACGCACCACAGCAGAATGCACAACATGGTGCGGTAAATCTAACACTTGTTGCTCACCGGTCTGCCATGGATCACCTCCCCCTGTCCCTTCTATAAACCATACGGTAACATCATCCATAGCTCCCTGGCAGCTAATGCTGCATGCCAGACTCACACGCCTCCAAACTCAACAGGGAAACTTTTAGGAAAATGTCCCGCGTAATCAAGCATTTTACCCCGCAATAATCATTCATCAATCAACAATTGCGCGCAAAATCCTGGAGGGGCTGTTATTACATTGGACA